GCACAATCAGCTTGTAACACTCCAAAGAGAAAGGAAAACTTGAAATCGCATCATATGACCCCTTTAAGTGTCGTTAAAGAGAGTTTCTTAACACATTTAAGTAGACTTGAAAAGTGGACTTTGTAATAATGTCAAATTCAGAGTTTTGCTTAAAAGTACATTTTAAATCATTGTTTTAATAATCTTTTGTTGTGCTTTAAAGAATTATTTTGATGTGTTGACTAACATACTAAAGCACATGTAAAGTACTTGATTAGAATTTTACCTGTAGTGTGTTATTCAGTATTACAATTAAAGTTCATATACTGTAAGTAGGGATGCACCGGTATCGGGCCCGATACTGAGCTCCTGTACTCGTACTCGTTAAAATGCCCCGATACCAAACGCCAAAAATAAAAGTATCGGTATCGGGCGAGTACTGGAAAAAGTGGTATCGGTGCATCCCTAATTTTAAGTGTACTAAATTGCAACTTTATTACAAATGTGTAATTACAAATATATTTAAATGCATATGTGACCCTGGAGCACAAAAGCAGTCATAAGTCTCTGGGGTATATTTGTAGCTATAGCCAAAAATACATTGTATGGTTCCAAATTATCAATTTTTCTTTTATGCCTAAAACCATTAGGATATTAAGTAAAGATCATGTTCCATGAAGATATTTTGTACATTTCCTACCGTAAATATATGAAAAAATTTTTGATTAGTAATATGCATTGCTAAGAACTTAATTTGGACAGAAGATATTTTGTACATTTCCTACCGTAAATATATGAAAAATGTATTATCATTAGTAATATGCATTGCTAAGGACTTCATTTGGGCAACTTTAAAGGCGATTTTCTCAATATTTTGTTGTTTTTTTTGCACCCTCAGATTCCAGATATTCAAATAGTTGTATCTCGGCCAAATATTGTCCTGTCCTAACAAACCATACATCAATGGAAAGCTTATTTATACAGATAAATAAAAAAAAATCACCCTTATGACTGGTTTTGTGGTGCAGGGTCACATATACAAGTGTCAATAGAAATGACATTAAAGTATATTTTGGTTTACCATAAATGCTTGTCAGTACATTCAGAAGAACACTTTAACCATATTTCAAAGACAATAGAAGTAATTATAAAATGACATATAAAGATGTACTTAAGTCCTACTTAAGTGGGTCAAAAAAAAAATCACTCTAAAGTTCAGCTGATTTCATTTAATATAAATGTAAAACTATAATGCATTTTCATTTAAAACATTACACACTTAGTTCACACTTAAATATATTTTTAAAGTAAACTTTATACATAATAAGCACTCTTTTTAAGTATGCTAAAGTGTACTTCTTTTTCACAAGGGTATTACTGTTGCTCCTGCATTGGTCTAGTGATTTGAACAAACTGTATTAAATGCTGGCGAGTAACTCATCCTGTACTGTTTTTCCTAATCAATTAGACTTGCAGACAATTAAATTTGCAAAAAAAAAAAATCCCATTGACTAACATTGAAGGAGGGCCCTGAACCATATCTAAAGACCAGAATATTATAGAGATATTGGGGTGGGCTTATTTTACTTGGAGCCAGTAAGCAACCACCTACAACAGTGATCTTCACTATTTTTTCACGAGAGCCGCACTTATAGGACAAATTTAATAGGAAAGCCACTTTTACTGCAAAGTATGAAAAGTTACATCCAGTCATAAATAGCATGTCTGCTTCTCAATCTGTCATCCCTGAACATACAATATGCAATGCAATACAAAGGGGTTTATTTTTAAAAGTTATTTGCTTCCACATTAGCCCATCATGTATCATACCATCCAAGTGCACATTCGGCGTTAAGAGCTGGAAAGATTGCCAAAACAACTCCGCAGTGAGTCAGTGTCATGGACGTAAGGGCAGAGCAAGTTTAAATATCTTTCTAGTCTATATTTCCATCTTGTAATTCCGCTGATTTTGGTATTTTTTAAATATAAATTATTTGTAATAGAGCAGACACTGACTGTTGTTCATGTATTTATGTTCTCATTTAGCGAGACAGCAGACGCTGAAAACACTGCGCGCTTCAGTATGTGTGTAGTAAACGAAACCGCGCGTCTGTGCCATTCATTCATAAAGAGACACGCAGGATTCATATTTAAATGGTATTTTTGCAGCTTATTATTTACAGATACCAGTCAATACTGCGATTTGATTTAAGTGTAATGACCTACTTTTGATTTATTCACCCAAACTTTGACAAATTCCGTGACATTCCGCGTTATTCAGTAAATTCTGTTTTTATGACTGGAATCCGCGATTCCGTTCGCGTTTTCCGCGTCGCAGAAATCATAGGGCCATAATTATAATGGGTTCTATTGTCTTTTGTCGTGTCGCACCACGATGCTCGCGTCCGGTGTAGACACGGTGTGAGTTATTTTTAATGGCTTAGTTATAGCCCTGCTTGTTTTAATGTTTTTATTAAATATCTGTATTGATCATATCATAGCATTATTTACTGCCATCTGCCTTGCGAGCCACAAACTAAAGCTTGGCGAGCCGCGCAATGAGTAACACTGACCTACAACACCTTAAAAATCAAATAGCAACTACATAGCACACCGACAGCACAAAAACCATTCCACACACAGCATAGAAACCACCCAGAAAACCTTTACATCATAGCAGCACCACTAGATTCATCTTCACTTAAACTGTATCTCTTCTCATTTCCACAGTTGCGTAGGCTTCCTGAAGACCTGGCTTCCTTTCTGCATCTTGACCAGTGTGATCCTGGCTGTGACTCTGTCTCTAAACCTGCGATGACCCAGCGGGGTCACACAGAGGTGAACGGGCACAGTGCCCATAGGAGACCCACCGCTGCGGGACTCCAGTGAAGGTCAACTTGACTTCCAGCTCTTCAGAGCGTAGAGGATCTCAACATCAAAAACCAAACGCTAGCACTCTTTGTCGTAGGGTAGAGACCGCAAATACACCATGGCTTCAGCGTCTTGTGGTGATGTACGAAACGCTATGTTCTCAAACCTTGTTATCCAAAGGCATGACTTTGGTGTCTCTCTTGAGGGTTATGGTGCTCTTTTATCGTTTGGTTACATTTTGATCTCCAAACTATAACTGCTGCTTAGGAAATATAACACTATAACGTATATATATATATATATATATATATATATATATTGTCTTATATTTTAAATATAACTTGAATATGAATTTCTAATGATGCTATGTTCTTTCTGAGAACGTAGTTTATTGCCGAAACAATGCATTATAAATCGAGAGGTTCTGGAAGATGAATTTCCTTTAAAAATTACTATGAATACAAAAGCTTATTTAAATGAACACTTTTAACATTTAATTTCATTTAAGAGTAGCCTTTTAGTCATTTTTTGGCTAACCATCAATATAAATGGCTTTTAATATTGTAGCTTGGCATGCTTTAAAGTGTAATTGTTTTTATATAAAAATTAATTAAGATATGAAGATTAGCATTCAAAAATTGCTAGTTAATGAATAAGCAAATCTTGTTTGCATTATGTATTCAAAAGCATTATTTGCACTGGCCAGCTGTTATTATATTGCATCATTTATTGTTATTGTATTAATTAACTTTTATTATATCGCATAAACCATTATGAAATCGCATTCACAAGTTAAAGTCGAATGTGACCCATTCAAAAGTAAAAATTGTAGTACAGGAGTTGATTTTATCCATTGGGAATTGATTGAGCCTGAAAAAAAGCATGCATTCAGACCAGACATGAATGAATGAAATGTAAGTGGCCTTGGTGACTTAGTTAATTTGAGGAACGGTTACGAAGACAGATATTTAATTTGGTAACATGCACTGATAAATCCTGCACAGTAAGTAATGTTGCCTTATATAAATCTTTGTTGTCCTGAGAATCGCTTGAGTCACATTGCAGGGGTTTTGGATGTTCTGTTTGAAAGCTTTACTCTTTCAATCATGATATACTTAATGCTTCCAATGTCTGTTTTCACAAAGAAATATCAAAGGTATTTTGTTATATTGACTATTGACTTAGTATAATGGCACAGTATGCCTAGTTTAACGATCATATCACATATAAAAATAATAACATGATTAATGTTCCATATGAGATGCAGGAGTTGATAATGCTTATTAAAACAAATGAAGCCAGAACACTGAAATCTGTCAAGCACTCGTCCAGGTTATTATTTCACCCCAAAATCAAAAAGAAAAAAATGACAGAATTGTTTTTTGTTTTAAGAAAATGAAGCCTGTTTTATATTATCTTTTGCGTGGGATATTATTTCATGGCAATTGCGCACATTTCCTACTGTAAGAAAATATTTGTTAATTAATTATATTAATATTTTTATAATAAGTGTATTTATACATCACAGCAGTATTTGTAGTACTGCTTTAATTTATTTTTTTTATTGCAACAACAGTAAAAACTGTATTAAAGTATGACAAATTTGGAGAAAAATGTCATGGAAATCTTAACAGGCTTTGTTTTCTTGATACAAAAAATATATTTTTATTTCCTTCTGATTTGGGGTGTAAATATGGCCTGTTTTAGTGATTCACTCATGCGTTTGAATTGATTAATTAGTGTATAATTAGGAAGAAAATTTAACCTGTCAAAATGGGCTCTCAGAAATATTACAGTATTTTTATTGTAATAAAAGTGATACTAATTAAAATAAAAATTAATGTTTTCATTATCATACAAATCTTAATTATCCTAATAACAGGCTTTATGTTCTCCATGCAAAATATTTGTTTTGTTTGCTTCTGATTTTGGGTGTTTCACTCGTACATCTGAGAGGATCTGATTGGTGTATAATCAGGAAGAAAAGCAATCCCAAAGTCAAACTGGGTGAAATCTAACCTTCAGATCGAATCCTGCCGTAATCCTAGACTATGATCTGGACACCAAACCTGTTTCCGTGGTTCCTGTGTGATCAAATCCCCTCTTTGTTTCATGTCAAAGAGAACTCCCCTCTTACCTATTGCTCTCTTCTCACATGTTTTCTTTTCTTTCCTCTTCTCACACTCTCTGTCTTTGGAAGTATTGCCAAGAGCAGCAGGTAGCCGAGTGTGCTTTGTGTGTGTGGAGTGTCTTCAGATGTGCGCGCGCGTGTGTGTGCGTGTGTGTGTGTGTGTGTGTGTGTGTGTGTGTGTGTGTGTGTGTGTGTGTGTGTGTGTGGAGTGTATTCAGATGGACGTGTGTGTTTGTATGTGTGTGTGTGTGTGTGGAGTGTCTTCAGATGGGCGTGTGTGTGTGTGTGTGGATAATTGTTTTATTTTATTCTGTTTATTTTATTTTTGCCACCATGTTACCAATTCTCATGTTATATTGAAAACAACTATATTATAGTTATTTTGCAGCTATTTTTATTTTTCTGTATTTTTATTTTTTCAGTATTTCTCAAAAAAATAGAGAAAATAACTTGATAACTAAAAGTGAAAGTAGTCAACACCAAATTATTTGTAAAAATTGAGGACATCGTTTTCTAAATGACTTTTGGTCACGATTGAAAGTAACATCTCACTTTCTGGAACGGGGAAATCATGTGGTAACGGTTGTGTTTAAAATGTGTGACACCACTAAAAATATGATTTTAAACGTTTTTTAACTTAATGACGTTTAAAAAAAAATGTCATGTAATGTTACATTTTTTGCTAGATAATACTTTTCACTAAAAATTGGATTTGTGCCCCTAATGCTTTTAAAAAGCACTGCAACTCCATCGGCTACCCTATTCATAGAAAGTGGCAGTTAATGTTTTCATAGATTTTTGGCATTAGAACAGTTTTATTAGCAGATTATTCATTTCTGTTTCTGCCTGTTAGCTAATCCAAAACTTGCATATGCGTAAAAATTAGTGCATATCTTTTTCTCTCATGCACTGCTAAGCTTGTCATTACGTTAACTTTGCACAGCTACAAACAAATAGACTTTTAATATTTATAAAAGTGTCACTTCATACCTTTTGCAGCTGCATTAGTGTGTGTGTGTGTGTGTGGTGAGTGAGTGTGTGTGTGTGTGTGTGTGTGTGAGTGTGTGTGTGTGGTAATGCCTGTTTGACTAGATGCATTGTTTACAATGGCTGCTGAGTGTTAGATAAATACGAGTAGCAGAATGCTTTTTGTTGTTGATTTTACGAATAACGTCAAGCATTCAGTAGAGCACATGGAACAACAGGGTGAAAACACTTAACAAGGCCTTTCTTACTCCAAATGAGTGACCGTGTAGTTTTATATTCACAAGGCAATAAGCTTCTGTGCGAATCTGTAATACAGGAATGTGAAAAAAGATGACTGTGTGCGATATCTGATTTCTCTTTAGAAATAGGTATTGGTCTTTCATTGTCTTTTCCTTTCTTTTTTTCTCCCTAGAACCCAGTAATGGTCATTTGAAATTGAGTTATTGAGTTTGCACAATGTATTTCCTCATAGCTTGCGTCCATAGCAAGAACTATTGGCAAAAGCCAATATCCTGTCATCAAAAACCAGTGGAAACATATAATCATCTTCCTAATTAATTTACAGTCCCCAATGTTGCATAATTATCACATTTCAAACCAATTCTGCCAACAATATAATTTATGATGTAAATGCATTATTGATATCAATAAAAGATGTTTACTATTACAATACACTATGGGTTTTATTTATATATGTTTGTGTATTTAATAAAGCAGCTTTTGTCTCTATATAAAACAACATGATGAAAGATATCATATTAAACAGTTCTCTCAGGTTATGTACTTCATTAGCCTTATGCTGTTCATGGTTTCTAAACAACACATATTACTGAATTCATCAATCATTAATATAGAATCAGCTGGTTAAAAAGGTTTGCGTATAATGGCTGCTGATTCAATAAATATGTAGCGTTTCATAAGTTCTATTTGATTCATAGTTTTTTTTTAGAAGTCATTTTCTAAAACAAGTGGACAAGACAGTTTGGACTCCAGATGTAAAATACGTGCATGCATTTTTTATAATGTTTTGATTGTTATTTTTTTGTGCGTTTCTTTGAACCGTTGCCCTGGAAACGTTTAATTGCGCTAGAGAACAAATAAGTGACTCGGCAGGCAAAAGAACGCCGTGTTGAATTCATAGCATATTGTCCCTCTTCAGTTCAGCAGACCCCCGCTGACTTCAAAGCATCAGGAGCCCTGTGGAGTGAGAGATCAGATCAATGTTCCCAACATACAAAAACACAGATTATCCATACATTAAGAACTAGATTCATCTTCAGAAAACCTATTAAGAACTTGGAAGCCAATAACACTGATCTGAAGAATATCCTCTATGGCGCAGTGATGTTATCCTTTGGAGCTCCAGTCGATATAAGGCCCCTATATGATTTTACTTCATCCTCTATTTTAATAACAGAAACAAAGGCTGTCATATACCAATATATTTGAATAATAAATCTGAATTAATTTAAAGAAATCAAAATTCACAAAGTTTTTTTTCTTGGTCTTGCAAACGTTGCAGAATTTGTATATCCTTGTTAAAGGGTTAGTTCACCCAAAAATGAAAATTTGGCTGTGTTTTACTCACCCCCGAGGCATCCTAGGTGTACATGACTTTCTTCTTTCAGACGAATCCAGTCGGAGTTATATAAAAAATTGTCTTTGATCTTTCAAGCTGTATCGTTGTACTCAGCGGGTGTTGCATTGCTTCAATCCAAAAGAACTTAAATAAAAAGCGCCCATCCATAAAAAAGGTGTCTCACGCGGCTCCGGGGGATGAACAACGGCCTTCTGTAGCGAATCGATGCGTTTTTGTAAGAAAAATATCCATATTCAAAACGTAATAATCACTTTAATCTAGCTTGCGCTCACTGTTGAACACAGAAGCAGTTCCGGGCGGATGACGTATGAGGTCAGCGTTGCGCATGCGCCGCTCAGAAGTGACGAACGCGGAAACGCAGCGGAGAGATCAAAAACGCAGCCTAATTTTCATTTTTGGGTGAACTAACCCTTTAAGTTTAGACTCCTTTCTCAATTAGCCTTTTTTTCTTCTTTTTTACATAGTAAAATTACATGTCAGGCGATGCTTGTTTAGGAGATTCATTTAAAAAAAAAAAGTTCAATATTGTTTGTCATGGTTGTAGATTTAAAAAAAAAAAAGGTGTATGATTTACTTTGAAACAATTTCTGTTAGGACCACTATTGTCAAAGATGATTGACAATTAGCACACAGTTTGGATTGGCGATATGGTTCTGTTCTGGGCAAGAACTCCCTCCGCATCCAGAGCAGCGATAACCCCTTATAAACAGAACAGAACCAACATAAATGTATTGCAGATATCAGTAATGTTCAATAATTTAATGTACACATTTTAGAAATTAGTCTGATTCAAAGTGGAATCAGAAGGCCGAATCCTGACTGAACGAGAGGAGGAGCTGGGGATGGAGGAGGGTAAATCACTATTGAGCAATGCAAAAGCTACTGATAATACTGAAGGACCTCATATAAGGATGCTGTTATAGATGTCGTATCCCTATAGGTAGACATAGAGCAGCTGAGAGATGTGAGCTTGACTGACGTGACCTTTTCACACTCAGAAGCGTGTGTGTGTGTGTGTGCATTTTAATGGGTACATTTTTGAAATATAATCAGGGATATTGTTATTTGAAGTAAAATAAATGTTAATTGGAAAAAAAATGAAATAAAAATGATATAGACATTTAAAAACAATACAAAATAAATAAAATGACATCACACAATAAAACGACTAAAACTTTCATTAAAATTAACATCAACGCAGACAAATATAAAAATACAACTGAATTCGAAACATTAACAAAAACTCTCAATGATACTAAAAGAAAAAAAAAATGCTGTACCCTTTGAAAGTTTACTGAGGCCCCCTAGTGGGCCCCACCCCTATCTAAAAGCCACTGCTCTAGCTTCATCGATCTCCAAAGAATCACACAGAAAAAATAAATAAAAATAAAATTGCAGAACCTAAAAGCAACTGTACACTCTAAAAAATGCTGGGTTAAATACAACCCAGTGCTGGTTGAAATAGGGACAAACCCAGCAATTGGGCTGTTTTGACCCAGCATTAAACATTTAACCCAACCACTGGGTCAAAACAGCCCAATTGCTGGGTTTGTCCCTATTTTACCCAGTACTGGGTTGTATTTAACCCAGCATTTTTTAGAGTGTAGAACAACCGTTTTAAAAAGTGAGCATAGCAAACTGGAGACCTTGAACTACTGTACTGGAGTAATACCAGACCAACTAAAGTGAGAGACCTTGGATTATCGTAATCTTTTGATGATGAGCTTTAATCACTATTAAGCCTATTAATCACTGTGATGAGTGTGAGATGTGAGAGATCCTGGACTGGTATCGGTCTAAATGGTGAAGTAGAGGGGGAGAGGTGCGAGGCTGAGCCCAAAGCTCCTCCCTGCTGATTGTTGAGAGCATGAGTGATTCAGTCGCATTGTTTGAGAGGAGCGGATCAAAAGCCCCACATCGAGAACCTCCTTTTCTTATGGAAATAAAGTGTCTGCCTCTCATTCACACGAGTTTCTGTAATGCAAAGAAGGCAGTCTCAACATTACTGAGAGAAGTTAGGAGTGAGGAGCACGCGGCACCGGAGTCTTGGAGAGACACTTTGGAGACGCGGATCCCCGGGCGCGCACGCCCGCTGCATGAGGGCATTTATTTAGTCAGGTTGATGCGGTATTGCTGATAGTTGGCCATGCTTGCCTCTGCACGGTGCGCGGTTGCGTTCGGGCTGCTGTGCGCTGCGCTCTCCGCGGGCGCGTCGCTGTGTCCCGCCGGCTGCGAGTGCTCGGAAGCCGCGCTCACGGTCAAATGCGTCTCCAAAGATCTGCGGGACATACCGAGCGGCATCCCGAGCTACACCAGAAACCTCTTCATCAACGGAAACCACATCAGCCAGATCGGACCCGAGTCTTTCCGGGGACTGGACAACGTGACGAACTTGTCACTGTCTAACAACAGGTAAAGCAATGATGTATATCTGAAGCCACATCGACTTCATCTGACTCTTAAAATACTGTTAACAACTGCTTCTAAAGTTACGGTGAATCAATATGGAGTCTCCTTCAAACTGTTCAAGAATCTTTATGTCATTTTGATCACAGTGGAGGCTAAAGTCAATGTAAAACTTTAGTGTAGCAACTATAATATTTTGATTTTAAAAGGGGAAGCTCATGCTTAAGGTGTTAAATGTTATACAGGTTTATTCTCACATCCTTGACTAATTCTACTTCATTTCTTCATAAACCTGTTTTACTAGGACACTCGTTATTAAAAACAATGTATGGATCTTTTTAAAAATAAAACTGAACTATATAAACGTAACCAGATTTGAAAATTGAATCAGTCATAAGTTATATGTTTTCCTTCTGAATGTAAACAATTCTATTCAGAAAGTTCCCTTAACAGGAAAACGTTTCATCTCAGATTTACTCATTTTACCCCATTCTTGCCATGAAACCGGTCTAAGATGCTGACATGGTATAAAACAACCAAATAAATAAACACCCCTCAATATCTGTTGTAGTTTTGACCCTGTAGTTCAATGAAGAACCTTTAACATCATGCAAAAAAAACGTTCTATTGTGTAAAATGTTGGATTTTCACACTAGATCACTGAAAGGTTCTTTGGGGAACCAAAAAACGATTCTACTATGGCATCAAAAACCCACCTTTATTTTTAAGAGTGTAGTGTAAAATGTTCCTTTTCTCCTCTACAGGATCTCAGAAGTGAAGTCTCACACATTTTCTAGCCTGCGGAGCCTCAGATCGCTGGACCTCAGCAACAACCAGCTAGCCGTCATCCATCCTGAGGCGTTCACCGTCCAGAGCCGCATGCTGAGGGAGCTCAACCTCAGTCGGACTCTCTATAACCACTCGTCCGTCACTGATTTAGCCACCTCTCTTCGCTGGAGCAGCCTGGCTGACCTGCTGGGACTGGACCTGTCCAGTAACGGCCTTGTCTACTTGCCCCCGGGCATCTTTTGCCATCTTGTCGGCCTGCGGCGCCTTCAGCTTGGCAACAACTCTATAGTGTCCATCCATAACGGGACGTTCACAGGACTGGATCACCTCCAGGAACTCGACCTCACCCACAACGCCCTCAGGACCCTGCGTGAAGAGGCTCTAAAAGAGCTGGAGCACTTGCGTTCAGTGAGGCTCCACTTGGCGGAGAATCCTTACACCTGCACATGCGACATCGAGTCTTTCGCCGCCTGGCTGAACGGCTCACGGGCGCAAGTGGTAGACGTCGAGCGCCTGACTTGCGCGTTCCCAGACGCCTTGCAGAACACGTCGCTACTGACGGTGGGCGAACTGGAGTTGGGTTGCCATAAGGCGAGAGAAAGTGACAATCTCGCACTGCAGACCTCCTACGTGTTCCTGGGTCTCGTGCTGGGATTTGTCGGGCTCATGTTTCTCTTTGTGCTCTACCTGAACCGCAAAGGTATTAAGAAGCGCATTTACAACATGCGTGACGCATGCCGGGAAGTCTGGGAAGGGTACCACTACCGATACGAGATCGACTCCGATCCCAGACTGTCGCAAGTCTCTACAACAGCAGATATGTGAGCTCTTCCCAAACTGAGCTCCTTATATGAACTAGTTTTCTATTGCATTTATACTTGGAACACGTCCGTTTGTGTGGCAAACAGTGTTGGGGGTAACGCGAGTTACGTAATCAGATTACTTTTTTTTCAAGTAACTAGTAAAGTAATGCATTACTTTTAAATTTACAATGAAATATCAGAGTTACTTTTTCAAATAAGTAACGGCAGTTACTTTGTTTTGCTATTTATTCACTGACTCCTCTCCTGTCCCCGTGTTGACAGAAACTGGTAGTAAGTGCAGCGATACTTCCTTCAGCCTGAGGCTTATTAATTTCACTTTTTGTGTGAAAGGGCCCTTATGGTGGGGAAAAATGTAACTTTTTTTTTTTTTTTTTTGTTTTTAAAAAAAAAATTATTGTGTAATGCATTACTTTTAAAAGTAACTTTCCCCAACTGGTGGTGAACATGTAGACATATTTAAGTAAGCACATTTCTTGTGAAAAGCATGTACTGCCTGTCTCGTTGAAGCCTTTATAACAAGCACACCTCCCCTTCAATTCTGCACAGAATTGGCCCCGAGATGCATTTGCTTCTCAGTCATCATTGGATGTTTGAGGATTAGCCCAATAAAGGGGCAGAAGCCATAAAGTAACTCTGACCACCACCAACAAACCCCCCACTAGTCTCCATTGTCCCGTACTGGAATATTGCCCACCTCTCTGGTGCTCAAGTGCCTTGTTCATTGAATTTAAGAGGCTGACCAGCTATTAAGAGGATAACCATTATATATATACATGTGTAATATGCGGTTGTGAAGTTTTGAGAACTGTTTTATTGCATGCTCCTGCAACCCTGTTTTTATGGAAGTGAATGCAATTTTTTGCGTCGGACCCTGAGCAACCGAATTAGCAGCCTTCTATGGTCCTCTCTGTCCCTCTATCCACAGGGAGTCTGTGAAGAATGTTGCGGATTTTCTCTCCAAAAGCATTCCAGCAGGAGGATAACCTCCTCTAAGCTCTAGAAAGAGGATCTTTTGAAGAAAGAGACCCAGTTTGCAGAAATCTCCAACTGCCCCCTTTTTTTTTTCATTTAAAAAAGACGTTTTGCTTTGTTTTTATTCCACTCATTTTTATTGTCAGAATGATGAGAACCAGCCCTTACGAGGGCCGCTGAGCGAGACCCCTCCTCCGTCAAGCCTGTTCGCTCTTTGAAGACTCAGTCTGGCTCAGTTCCTCATATGTTCCCCAGCTTTTTCTGTTTAAGGGACTTTACGGTGATAAGATACAGATGAAGCTGGGGCCGTTGTGCTGAACGGTCCCCTGCTCTGTTTCTGAGTACTGTTTCCAAATGTGCAAGACTGAAAAGAAATATGCTTGATGTGTTGTGCCAATGTGCTGGACTTCACTTCACTGTCTGGATAATATGATTTTATGCAGCATATGTTTGTCAAAAGATACAGTCTATTTAGTCTTTGAGTGAATCTCACAAAGACAGTCAGGAATTTTCTTGTGTAAATGAATTTGTATTTCACCTTATCAAAAAGAAAAAATAAATATTTTGCATCAACAAAAAAAGGCTTTTTTTACTTTTTGCATTGCGGCATTTTAATGACAACATATTACAGTAATATATATTACAGTAATGAGACGTCAAAAAAAAAATAAATAAAATATATATATATATATATATATATATATTATTTAAAATATATTATAATGGCATATAATAATGGTACAATATTACAATATTATATATTCTATATAATTTATTTATTTTTTGGAGTGAAACTGAATATTTCTTTGTGAGATTCACTCATTTGTCAATGTTTTGGACTGAGAATCATTATCTGTGGAAAAGCATCATATCTTTGCTTGTAATGAAAGCATCTTTGTGCCTGATGAACTATTCAAAATTATGATATTTGGTACATGAAACTTCACAGACATTTGGACCGTCTTCCATTGTGCTTTTATAGCTTTATACTCATGTATTATTCATTATATTCAAATGAACCTTTCTCTAAAGAGGTAAGGAATACCTTTTAAGTGGGATGCCAAAAGCAAACATGTTTACTCATGAATTTATCAGGTATCCAGTGCAAAACAAAACTTTTGTGGATGTGTCATGCATCGCATGGACAGATAAATGGTATTTCTTCAGGGCAGAGTTTATTTTGCATGCTAAAAAATAAAGATTTTTACATTTGAAATTGAAATTAGTCTCTTTGTTTCTTGCTGGTCAGAAAGATATTTGTGGTTTCTTGTAGGAGGATTCCTTTAGCTAGAACAGAAGAGCTCACGGATAGTTCTCCTTTGGTTTACAGTAGGAATTATTCACCACAAACTCTCCTCATCCTTTCTGATCATTTCAGTACTGTACCTGACAAATTTGCTTAAAGTTTTCCCCTCTTTTTTAGTTTCTTATTGTATAATCCTTCAGATCGATTCAAATTAAAATGACAAATTAGAGCATGAACTCAGTGAAAATGTATCATCATGTTAATGCTGACGCTGTGATATTATTCTTCCTCATAACAAAAGGCCTTTAGCAAAAGCTTGAAGGGCATCAGAGGTGTTTCATAACTGATAATAACTATGAGCAGGCTTAGTCGCATTTTTACGGCTGCAAATCTCCACATGCAACTCGTTATTGGAAACACATGAGTTATGATAATCGGCTACAGCACAAAGCTGAATGCAGTGCCTCATTGAAAATCATCTGTGGTGCAATCAGAGCAAGGCTCTGTGTCTAATTTAAAACATTTAAAAATATTAAGTAAGTATATGAAGTAATTCGGAATAGTTGGCCAATACGATTAAGGGCCATTCACAATGGCAGCGATTTAGTAAAGTTCAAGTTTATGCAAACACTAAGCATCGACCAATGAGAGTGTAGAAAACGCTCATGTGATCTACTGCCAGTCAAGCAGAAACCATACAGCAATTTAACCTCTATGTGTGAAGGCCCCTATATATATCGAAGCATTTTTATTGCTGTTGCTTAATGGCTTTGTGCCTGGTAATGACATGATGCTAGTATTGCAGAATGAGAGCAGAACTGAAGGCTTTACAAAGTACCTCTTTCCTCCAACAGCTCCCTGTGCAGAAGACCATGGTGGGCTTGTTAAAAACAAAGAAGAAATTTAGCCAATTAGTTACGAATTTATGGCCGTCCTAAGGCTCAGACCCACAAAAATTGATATTTACCTGGAATCATCTGGCCGGACACCGCTGTGCCAGAGAACAGTACTGAAGATTAATGTCATCTTCTCTCGGCCTCATGGCAAGCCTGCAGGAAAGACGAAATGTCACACAGCTCTAAACACTGTCTGGATAATATGATTTTATGCAGCATATGTTTGTCAAAAGATACAGTCTATTTAGTCTTTGAGTGAATCTCACAAAGACAGTCAGGAATTTTCTTGTGTAAATGAATTTGTATTTAACCTTATCAAAAAGAAAAAATAAATATTTTGCATCAACAAAAAAAGGCTTTTTTTACTTTTTGCATTGCGGCATTTTAATGACAACATATTACAGTAATATATATTACAGTAATGAGACGTCAAAAAAAAAATAAATAAAATATATATATATATAGTTACGAATTTATGGCCGTCCTAAGGCTCAGACCCACAAAAATTGATATTTACCTGGAATCATCTGGCCGGACACCGCTGTGCCAGAGAACAGTACTGAAGATTAATGTCATCTTCTCTCGGCCTCATGGCAAGCCTGCAGGAAAGACGAAATGTCACACAGCTCTAAATTTCATCTTTGCCTCTGACTTTCAAGCAAACTAGCCATTTAAGAAGAAGAACAAAGACGTCCGAGTTCATGTGACCGCTGTGCTGTTCATGAGACCCACTTGTTTTATTTTCATAGTTTTATTCGTCCTCAATGGCCCTACACTGTGGTTTTGCTATTAAACAGAAAAGCGCCCTTGGGATGTTACAGAGAAAAGCTGCTCTTTTGCAATTAGTCATGTGTTTGCTTTGGTTTAGAAACATCCTGGCACCATTGAGGGACGTTTAATGGATTGATATATGGGTTCATGAAATGAATCTCACATCTATGAGGGACTGAATACATTAAAGGCAAACCCACAACAGTCATCAACATGACAACAGCAATTAGTGCTGCTGTGAGCATGTAAGAAATACTGCTGCTGCAAATATAACTTGAATTTATCCTACTATACATGAAATACCCTGTAGCAGATCTATACAGGTGGAGCTGGGGAAGGTGGAGGGTTTCTGAAGTGCGCTGCAACTGCTAAAGCAAGCACTAGCTGAGTATTTGAATTTTGAGCATCGAGCTCATTGGCCGCTGATGCGAAAAGAAACCAATCAGCTGCGCCACGTGAATAATGATGTGACTATATCAGATTGAGTTAGAACCTATTGGCCTGAGCCATCTAGAGCTTCATGACAGAACTTCGTATAAGTAAATAAACAAACAAGCAAACAAACTTAAGGGTGGACCCTTTTAAGCACCCTTTTGCAAAAGAAGTACACTTAAGCATACTTTTAAATAGAGTATTTATTATGAAAATAGTACACTTTAAAAGAATATACTGATGTAATGTTTCCGGACACTAAAGTGCAATTAAATGAAAATATTAGCTACATTTTTTGACCCACTTAAGTAGGACTTAAGTACATTTTTCTATGTAATTCCAAAATGACTTCTGCTGTCTTTGAAATATGGTTAAAGTGTACTGCTGAATGTACTGTCAAGCATTGATGATAAATTAAAATTACTTTAATCAATCTTTTCCACTGAAACCTGCATGCCATGCATTTAAATTACATTACAGTTTTTAATGATAAAGTTGTAGTTTAGTGCATTTGAAATATATTAATTTTAACTGAATAATACACTACAGTTAAAATTATTGTACTTTAGTATGCTAGTCAATGCAATAAAATAAGTGTACTTTCTTGACAAGCTTGACAAAAGATTATTCAAACGTAATGATTTAAAAGATACTTTAAAACTTTGGCATCATAAAGTACTTAAGTGTGTTAAGAAACAGTCATGAAATTGAACTCTCCTTAAGTAGACTTAAGTGGCCTTTTATTTAATTAATATTATATTATATTACCTGCAAGTACAGTTTTTTTTT